CAGAAGTGGAGGTGTAGTGATGTACACCTGAAATTTTTACAATGTTGTAAATCAACGTTACTGCAATAAACAGAAATTAAAAAAAAAAAAAAAAATAGACCAGCTCAGTTGATCTTGAATGCATGCAAGAGGAGAGGTTCAAATGGAGACTGCCAAATGAAAAAAAAAAAGAAACAAAAAAAGAGAAAATGATGGAAAATAATAATACTAATTTATCAACAGCAGATCTGCACAATAAGAAATATTAAAGGAAATCCTCAGGCAGAAGGAAAATAAGACCAGATGGAAATATGGATCAACCCAAGGGAAGGAAGAGCACCATAAATAGTAACTACATGGAAAAACATATATTTTTCTTATTATCCAAATCTCTTTAAAGATATTGACTGTTTAAGCAAAAATAATATGTATTGTGGGGTTTATAACATATGTATAGGTAAAATGTGTGATAATAGCATAAAGTATGTGAGAGGAGAAATAGAAATAAACTATTATAAGATTCTTGTAAAAAAAAAGTAGTTTTATCTTCTTTGTCTTTAAAATTAATTTTTGATATGTGAAATAAGTGTTTGAATATAGAGTATGACTTTTTTTTTCACTTTTATTGATACAAACCTGTTGTGTAACATTGTATAAGTTTAAGATATACAACACAATGATTTGATATAAGTATATATTCTGCAAAGATTAGCACAATAAGTTTAGTTAACAGCCATCACCTAAAATAGTTACAAAATTTGTTTTTTTCGTTCTGATGAGAACTTTTAGGATCTATTCTCTTAGTAACTTTCAAATAACAAAAACGGTATTATTAGCAATAGTCATCATGTACATTACGTCCCCAGAACTTATTTGTCTTATAACCAGAAGTTTGTACCTTTGACCCCCTTCACTCACATCTTGCTCTTCATAACAGGTTCAGAAGGAGAAAATATCTTTCTTCATATTTTGAAGAAATATATTACGTCCAATTTGAAATCATTTGTCATATTCCCATTTTTTTGTGTGTGTGTGAGGAAGATCAGCCCTGAGTTAACATCCATGCAAATCCTCCTCTTTTTGCTGAGGAAGATTGGCCCTGAGCTAACATCTATTGCCAATCCTCCTCCTTTTTCTCCCCAAAGCCCCAGTAGATAGTTGTATGTCATAGTTGCACATCCTTCTAGTTGCTGTATGTGGGACGCGGCCTCAGCGTGGCCGGATGAACAGTGCGTCGGTGCACGCCCCGGAAGCGAACCCCGGGCTGCCAATAGTGGAGTGCACGCACTTAACCGCTAAGCCATGGGGCCAGCCCTTGTCATATTCCCATTTTTCAAAATTTCTTTCCACTAACTCTTCCTCAAAAATCTCCTTGCTTTATCTTTCCACTCCGTGATTGGACATATTTCATTGCAGATCTTTGCCCTCTTCTATTCCTTTAAATTGCTTTCTTCCTTAGGCCTGTCCTCTAAGTCTTCTTCCCTACTCTTTTTACACAATCTTCCCAGGGCTTGAATTCACACATCAGTCTCAATGAAGAGCGATTCTGTCTCTAGTTCATCCTTCCTTCCGAGTTCCAGACAGATGCCGGACTGCTTCTTGGGTGTCTTATGGATGTCTCGCACCAAACTCAACAAGACCACCACTGACCCTTCAGCTTTCCCCATCCACCCAAATTGGAATGTGACTGTCGTGCCCTTAACCAACAAATTTAAGACACAGGGATCATTCATTCTGTTATGTAATTGATACAAAATTCTGTCAGTCTATAGCTTTAAACACATCTAAACTTTCCCACTGCTACTTCTCCACAATAGCCTACACCCATCTTCCACACTGCATCCGGAGTGATTTTCCAACATCCCCTTGCTTAAAAACTTTAAACAGTTCCCCATTTGGCGTAGAATATATACTAAATAATGGAACATGTTGTCTTAGTCTGCTTAGCTGCTGTGACAAAATTACACTGACTGAGTGGCTTCAACAACAGAAATGTATCTTCTCACAGTTCTGGAGGGTAGAGGCCCATTATCAAGGTGCCGGCAAAATTGGTTTCTTGTGAGAGCTCTCTTTCTGGTCTGTAGACGGCCCGTTTCTCACTGTATACTCCCCTGGCTGGGCTTTTCTCAGTGAATGTCCACCAGAGAGAGAGTGTCAGCTCTCTGGTGTCTCTTCCTATAAGGACACTAATCTTATTGGATCAGATCCCCACCATGACCTCATTTAACCTTACTTACTTCCTTAGAGACCCCATTTCCTAATACTGCCACACTGGGGATTAGGGCTTCAATACATGAATTTTAGGGAGACACAAATATTCAGTTTTTAGCACATAGTAATGAACCAAGAGCTGCTTTCTGCTATATACTCTAGCTTTCTCTCCAGGCTAAACTTTTTAAATCTATGTTCAACTTGACTGAATATTTTCATGTTCCTTTTATTCACCGAGGTTTCTTTCTTTTTATTTTTTGAGCACTTGCAACATTCTACACAATGTTCTCATTATCTGGGGCAACATCTGAAGGGAAACCAAACACTGTTTCTGCTTTCATTAAACTTTCATTCTGGTGAGAAAAGACAATAAATAACTAAATGTGATGTCTCTAAAGATGTTTCCAAAGCTGGAATATTTTCTACCTCCCTACCTCTCTATCTCCCCCAAGACATTCTCTCCCTCTCTGTCTCTCCCTTGCTCTCTCTATCTCTCTTGGAAACACACAAATACACACAATTACTCATATTTCAGTTCTTACTTTAGCTTTTTTCTTTTCCAAAAATCCTTTTCTGTTCACTTTAGACTGAATCAAATTGCACCTGGCACACGATGTCAAATCATACTATGGCAATAAAACATGCTCACACTTTATTTCAGCAGCCTATGAATGGAATGTCTGTCTCCAGGAGGGTACAGATGATGTCTACCTGTCTTCATCGTTGTGTGCCCAGCTTCTAGCAATGACTGATATATAATGAACAGTCAATAAACACTCACTGAGTATTGTGGAATATCATACTACATTTTCTTGTATAGCACTTCTGAAAGCATCTTGCTAGGAATACTAATTATTTGGACTAATAATGGGTGTTATCTTGAAAAAAGAGTTTTGTAGCCAATCACTGAATTTAACAACGTTCAACTTGTTTATTTACTATAGAAGTAGAGGACTTAATACGAAAATGTGAATTATGGATCATGAAAACACATTACATCCTACTTTTTCCAAATGATTTTATTGCATAATCTTTCTTTCTCACAGCATCTCTCAAAGTGATTAATCTGAATAGCTAACTTTTAGTCAACACTCTTCTGCAACCTTTTTCTGTCTCCACAGTTGGGCTGGGGTAAGTATTCCTGCAAGTGTTAATGGTGCCCTTTACCCTCAACATTTGTAAGCTAATGAGTGACAAAATCGTAACACTTCCACAGATCAAAGAATCATATGGAAGTTCTTTTTACAGAACTATTTTATACTAGCTCATTAAGACTCACCATCAAAGGCACATGTAGAATATAAGGGCCAATAGTAAAAAGAACTAAATAAATAACCTCATTAAAATTTAACTGAGAGTGCATGTGTTAAGGAACAATTAGAGTTTTCATGATAAACATTTTAAGTGCTAATTGGTTCCAATGGGAGGTCTTAAGATTACAATTTCTTTGCAACTTGTGGGCTGCTGCAAAAATGCCCATATACATACAATCATAAAAACAACAACAACATTAATAGAAAACATTTTATCAGTTGACTGTAATGAATATGAACAATATCGTTCTGCTGAACTTTGTGATATTTATAGTCAATCATAAGGCAAAGAACAATCACAGGCGGAAACAAAGAATGATTCTGAAAATGTAGATGTAAATCATTAGGATTAGCGCGCTTGTTAAATTTCTGGTCAGTATCTGTGAAATATAGATTCTGGTTCAATAAGTCTGAGGTAAGGAAAGCCTGGGATTCTCTATCATTAAAATGCCATAAATAAGACATTATCAAATTTTTCCTGTTCTTACCCCCTTAGTGTTTCGTTTTGTTTTATTTCACAGCACGCTTAGGCCAAAAGAAGTATATAATAGTTTATTGAGTGGTTAGGTCTAAACAACTTAATAAGTATTTAAATTCTAAAAACATAATAAGCATTTGAAAAAGATAATAAACACAAACTGAAATAAAAATGGTGTTTTTGTTTCCTTGTTCACTAGCATCTCTTCCCAGGATGCACGCAAGCACCTTGGGCGCCTCAGGGCTTCTGGAACTCTGGAAGCAGGTTGGACACTCTCACTGCCCTTCCACGTTCCACACTGACTTTTATGCAGCATTTGCTTCTAATCGCAACAACTATCAAAAACCAAACTATTGACCTGATATTGTTTATCTACGTTTAAGTAAATGACTCATTTTCAGAATACGCTTTTCAGAGCCCTAGAGGTGTCTTGGCAATAGCAGAAAGGTGTTGGTAGCAAATGAGCTGATACTCCAGGTAGCAAAGCAATAGCTGTAAGAACAGCCCCACTCTGTGGTTTTTATTCTATGCATATGGTCATTAAGCGATACTACTTTAAAATTATTGCAAACCTCTAAAGGATGTAGATTTTTGCTTAGTTGTAGCATGTTACATAATTTTTACTATCAGTAAAAACTGCCACATTTTCATGTATTTATTTATCAACATTACATTCAATATTTAAAAATATTCCAAATTCCTGGGTCTGTTGTTTAGGTAGAAAAAGTAGTCAGGTTATTTAAGTAGTGTAATAGTTAGATATACGTCGTGTTGAGGGTTCCAAGACCACCTTAAATTTGGTGATTTGCTACAAGGACTCACAGAAATCAGAAAAGCTTTTATGCTCACAGTTATGGTTTATTACAACAAAAAAAATACAGATTAAAATCAGCAAAGGGAAAGGTGTATGGAAGAAGTCAAGAAGTAGTCAAGAGCAATCTGAGTCAGAGAGGCGGTGTTTATTCCTCCCAGCGACAATGTGTGACAACATATGTGAAGTTTTGCCATCCAAGAAACACTGGCCTATTCTCCTGGATTGTCAAGCTGATATAACTTGGCACAAAGCCTCAAGCATATGAAAGCCAGTATTCACCAATAGTCACATTTTTAGCATCAGCTACCTGGCTTGACCCAAGTCCTCAGACATACGAAAACACTTTTATCAGGCAGGCAGAATATTCCAAAGCTCAGAGATCTGTCAAGTTTCAGTATTTTTCCTTGAAATGCACAAATTTTGAATAACTTGGACCTGTTGAGTTAACCCTTTACTGCACATCTATAATTTGGCTTTCATATTGATACCACTGTACTTCTCTTTGGATTATTTTGTGTCAGATTATTCCTTCTTTCATATTTGTCCTCTATTTCATTTTAAAGTCCCAGTTTTGTACCTCTTCATATCTAAGAACTCTATTTCATACTTTCTTCCCTTTTTTTTTGCATTAATCAGCTAATTTATACGTTTTTACATAAAAAATGCCCTTTCAAATTCATCAAGTATATTGATGTATAAAATATATCTCACATTGTATGTATAAATAGAATTGGGAAAAGTAAATTAACTATATTTTAAGTGCCTCAGTACTGAACTTCATTATGAGCTTAAACAGGAAGATACTGACTCCTCAAACATACGGCTTCCTATTATATTCGTCTTTCCTACCTGAATGATAAATGGCATTGTCATCCTTCAAATTCTTAACGCTAAAAACAACCCACCGAAGTCAATCATAAACTTGTTTCCTAAATCAACTGCCAAATAACTCATTAATTCTGCATATATAGCATCTATCAGTTTGGTTAGTAACACTGTTTTGGCAAACTATAAGAATTTGTTTCTTCATATAGATTGAATAAGATGTTTAAAACTAAATGTAACTTAGAGGTCTTTCTGTTGGATCTACCTATTTTACACACTAGGAAATTAAGAGGTGGAATAATTAGCAAAAGTTACAAGGAAAGGTTTTATGGGGAGACATCCCAGAGAAGAAGTTCATAACTTAGAAGCTTAACAGTAAATATATATTAAGCATCAGATAAGTGAAAACTAAAACCACAATGATATAACACCACAAGAATGGTTAAGGGGAAAAATGATGGGGAAAACCACCTGCTAGAAAGTACTTGGGTTAACAGGATCTTTCATATACTGTTAGTGATGGTGGGAGTGGTGGTGGTGGTTGGGGTGTTGAATTTGGCAAACATTTTAGACAACGGTTTGTCAGTATCTACTAAAACTCAACATATGCATATCCTATGCCCCAGAAATGCCAATCATAGCAATATAACTAACTAATGTGTGTAAAACAAAAATTTCATGTACGTGTTTATAATCCTCGTATTTTAATAGTCTCAGTCTGGAAACCACTGCAAGGCTCATCAAGCGTAGAGGAGATGGATAACTTCTACTGTGCTCACACAGTGGAATACCACACAACAATGGGCTTAAATGACCTAAAATGACATGCAAAAATATAGGTGAATTTCGCAAATATAATATGAACGTTCGTCAGTAAAAGTCAGGCACTCGTAGAAAATACCAAAATGACAAAACTATGCTCTTAGAAGTCTAGACAGAGCACGGCTGGGATGGGGGAGTGGTGACTACCACATGAAGGGTCTTTAGAGTCTGGGGAATGTTCTGTTTCTTAAACTGGGTGTTACCTAGCTGTGTCTAGTTTGTGAAAAATGACTGTTGTATAATTATCATATGCGCACTTCTCCATATGAATATTAAACTTTAATTTAAAATACTAAAATGTAACATAAAAACAAAAAAACCCTCAAATCTCTAATGGAATTTTTTAAGAGAAAATTAAGATGTAGGCACTATTAAGAACAGAAAGGACATAATTACAGCCAGAAGAAATATTAACAGGATAATAAGACAGTAATATTAAAATGCCAATAAATTTTTAAATAAAGAAGAATTAAACAATTTTCTAGAAAAATACAACTTTCAAAACTGACTTAAGTGGGAAGAGAAAGCCTGAACGGACCAATAACTATAAAACAAATGAATAAGTATTTGAAAGTTTAGCCACTGAAATCCACCCCCAATCAAAAAATAAAAGAGTTCTAATTTTTTTTCTATAGAACAGTTCTATTAAACACAAAAGGAAGAATAATTTATGATCTTATTAATAATCTCTTCCATAGTGTAGGAAAAGAGGAAACATTCCCAACTTATTCTATGAAGCCAGTATAATAGTATCGCACAAGAAAGAAAAATTAAAAACTAATATTATTTATAAAATTACTGGAAGTATAAAATATATTATAGACAAACTGTTTCCTCAAAGAATCCAAGAAAATGTCAATAATAGAACACCTATTAAAGTAATTCAATTGTAAAATATTATAGTTTAAGAATATCACCTACATAGATGCAGTAAAAATGTTTGATAAAATTGAATATACATTCATAATTTTAAAAAACTCTCACCATACTAGTAATAAAAGGTATTGTAACCTAATAATGACATTGACCAAAACCGGTTATTGATAAGAATTTAAATTTTGTCATGTTGTATAAATTGTATATTTATTACATATTCAAGTAAGATTAGTGATTGCTAAAATAAAGAAAAGGTCTTAATTTTTGCACTTTTTCTCTTCTCCAGGCACCTTCAATTCTCAATCATAATTTAATTCTTATATTTCTTTTGTACCTTACTATCTTTTAGGTATAACTAAAATAATTTTAGCTCATTTTCCAAGACTTATTATTTCATTTTCAGATTTTACTGAAGTAGCTAGCACTTCTAAAACAAATGTTTTAAAATAATACTTATAGTGACATGTGTTTCTTAATTATGACTAATATAAATTTATCTATTACCTTAGCATTCAGGATGAGCATTATACTTTATTTTTGATACATATTTAGTAAATTTCTTTACTACATCTTTTCTCTTTGGAGTTAATTAAAAATTTCTGTTGGATTGTATAAAATACTATTTTGCATCAATGTAAATATGTATGTCTTTTCTTTAGTTTGATTTAATCAACTGCATACAGGGGTATTCCAATTTTGAACAATTTTTGGATTCCTTTAATTAACTATGCTTGAGCATTGTTGTTTCCATAAGTCTGTTTTAATATGTATGAGCCTATTCATTGTCATATGTAAAATCAGCACTCTACTGTTCAGGTAAAAAGAGTTTACAGAGCAGTATCAAACCTGCAGGTGAGGAGACCACATAAAAATATATGTTACTTTGGGACAGAAATAAATAAACTGTCAAATTCCTTTAAATTTTATCCCAGATAACTTTGGATGAAAGTATGGAAGACCTGCCTCAGCATTTGTTGTGCCTTGGACAAGAGTACAAATGAAGATATACATGTCAAATCTAAATATTTGAAAGTCTAGATAATGCTGACAAAAGGTTAATATATCTGGTATTGGTGAAACAATAGACAAATAGATCAATGGAAAAATAGAGAGCCCAGAAAGAGACCCACATAAATATAGTCGACTGATCTTTGACAAAGGCAAAACAATGGAGGAAAGACAGTCTTTTCAAAATATGGTGTGGAAAAACAGGATATCCACATGCAAAAAATGAGTCTAGACACAGACCTTCCACTCTTCACAAAATTAACTCAAAATGGATCACAGACCTAAATGTAAAATATAAAACTCCTAGAAGATAACATAGGAGAAAATCTAGAAGACTTTGGGTTTGGCAATGACTTTTTAGATACAACAACAAAGGCATAAATTCATAAAAGAAATAATTTGGAAGCTGCACTTCATTAAAATTAAAAATTTCTGCTCTTTGAAAAACACTGCCAGGTGAATGAAAAGACAAGCCACAGATTGAGATAAAATATTTGCAAAAGACATATGTGATAAAGGGTCGTTGTCCAAAATACGCAAAGATCTCTTAAAACTCAAAAATAAGAAAACAAACAACCCAATTAAAAAATGGACCAAAAAACTTAAGACACTTCACCAGAGAAGACATATAGATGGCAAACAAGCTTATGAAGAGATGCTCCACAAAGTGTGTTATCAGGGAAATGCAAATTAAAACAACAATGAGATATCACTACACATCTATGAGAATGGCCAAAATCCAGAAGGCTGACAAGGACGTGGAGCGACAGGAACTCTCATTCATTTCTGTTGAGAATGTCAAATAATGCAGCCACTTTGGAAGACAGTTTGGTGGTTTCTTACTAAACTAAACGTACTCTTACCATACCATCCAGCAATCTTGTTCATGGGTATTTACACAAAGGAGTTGAAAACTTATATCAACACAAAAACCTGCACACGATATGTTTAGCAGCTTTATTCATCAGTGCCAAAACTTAGAAGCAACCAAGATGCCCTTCAGTAGATGAATGGGTAAATAAACTGGAGTACATTCAGACAATGGAATACTACTCAGCGCTAAAAGGAAACAAGCTATCAAGCCATGAAAAGACATGCAGGAAACTTAAATGTATATTGCTAAGTAAAAGAAGCCAATGAGAAAAGGCTACATACCATACGATTTCAACTATATGACGTTCTGGAAAGGCAAAACTATGGAGACAGTAAAAAGATCAGTATTTGCCAGGGGTTAGGGAGAGGAAGGGAAGAATAGATGGAGCACAGAAGATTTTTAGGTCAGTGAAACTACTCCGTATAATACTATAATGGTGATACATGTCACTATACATTTGTCAAAACCCATATAATGTGCAACACCAAGAGTGAACCCTAATGTAAACTGTGGACTCTGGGTGATAATGATGTGTCCATTAAAGTTCATCAGTTGTAACAAATGTACCACTCTGGTGAGGGATGTTTATAATGGGGAAGCTATGCATGTGTGGGTGCTGAGGGTATACGGAAATATCTGTACCTCCAAAAAAATTTAGTACATGTTTCATTCTCCTAATTCTGACAAAGATAGGCAGCCATATTAAATTTAGAGTCTTGTAACTCCACATAGGACTACCACCAATGCCTGGTCCCTGGACTGTTTCCTTCTCTTTTTACTTTTGCATCTGGTTCCATTCTGAGTCTTGAGAAGCCTCATGCTTGCTGAGGCCCAGCCCAGCCCAGCCTGCACATCCATGACTTATATACAGCCCCATGAACTCTCGAGCCTAGGGTGTGCACACCAGCTATGTAGTCCATATTTGGATGGACAGATCCAAGAATCAGCCCACATAGGCCCCTGAAATGGCTTCAAGGCCATTTGGGCAGGAAATACTAAGATGTGGTATAGAAGCAGGGTTAGGAACTGGTGGATAGTCCCTTTGGCCCTGTAGAATTCTCACCTTGAAATGGGGTTCAGCCAATGGAGGGCCAGAGCGAGGCCATCTAAACTGTACAGCCTACTTGAAGGACCCCTCTTACCCAAGTCTAAGGATGGTATTGTAAATGGTCCTATTTCTGAAGCCTATAGATTGGAAGTGATGCATCATACATCTGTACCTCTGGCTCACCCCATACCCACCCAGTTCTATCAATCAGTATTAGCATGATTACTCCACCAATCTAAGGATCAAAACCACAAGCAGCAGCACCCTGTCTCTGAAAAGTGTCCATAGGTTTCCAAATGCCAATCTCCTCTAGATAGTCAGGAAATTACGCCCTCATCCTAGCCATAGAGAAAAATATTCTTTCCCATTACTGGTCTAACAGGTGCAGAGAAAATTCGTTCTCTTCAACATCAAGATCTGCATAGAATTGATAATCTTTAGTCACATACTTTATCTCAATTTGCTTTAGTTTATGTGAGTGAATGCAAATGTTGGATTGGCCAATCAGACTTACACAGCACCAAGCTTTATAATAAGTTCAAGGATATAAGAAATCAAGAGGCATAGATGGAGTGATGAGAGGGCTAAGACATCTCACGTGGTCTCCAGATCCTCTTCCCTGCATCACATTCTATGGCCGAGAGTAACAGCTGATATCTCAAATGAGATTTGCAGGTCATGTCACAAAGAGAAGAGCATTTAGGATATGAGACATGTTCATTTTTTTATCTACATGTTCACCTGGCTTATGTAACATTTGTCAGGGAACCATGCCCCCTTAATCCATAGATCTTGGGTTTGGTTACTGTAAGCAATCCTAAAATAAAGACATCCTCCTCAAAGCATTCCACAGATGAGGACTCTCCTGCCAGCAAATGTCTCCTGGTCTATTAACCAGGATATCAGTTCTCATACTTCTTACAAAGATATTAGTCCAGGCCACCTGCCTTCTTTCTTTCCCCAGGAACACCTTCCCCTGTGCTCCAACTGTATCAGTAATTAGAAGAGAAATGAACCACAGTCCTGATGCTTAAACTTCATCTCCATTATATTGTTTCAAGGGAAGGATATAGAAGAGAGAGTGTCAGGGACTTACTCCGTGTCACTATTTACACAGAAACCTAATATGTTTTTCTTCATATACTATGAATATTTTGACTAAATACAAGGAACATGCATTGTTTTTGTAATGGGAAAAATCAATGGGGTATTTTTCTTAAGTCTTTATGGCCGCAGAACACAGGAAGATACTGATTCTTCAAAGACATGACTTCCTATTATAATCTTATTTCCTACTTAAATTATAAATAGAATTTGTCATCCTTGAAATTCTGAAAACTACAAATAATTCATTGAAGTCAGTTTTTAATGGACTTTTCCTCTAAGTTAATTGTTAAATAGCTCATTAATTTTACACATATAGTGTATGCCAATTTCTTAACTCATTCGCTTTCTTTAACTTCTACAAATGAGAGTAAACAGACGGAATCCTTCTTTAAGAGATAATGTGAGTTTTTAAGGGTTTTTTGTATTTTGTTTCTTTTTCATGATCTATGCTTTGGACACTGTAGGAGTTCATCATTTTCCCACAATTTGGATAAAATGTTTAAAGCTGTAAAGTAATTTATAGGTGTTCTTTGATTAATCTCCTTGTTTTACAGTCAAGGAAACTGAAAGAGTGACGTAAACAGACTGTCACCCAGCCCTGTAGTGTTTGTCTCCTCAACACTTTTTATACAGTCCCTAGTAACTCAAATAATTCCTGAATTTGCCAACGTGCCCTCCAAATTACATTCTAGTACTTATTCAGAGGCTCTTAAACTCAATTCAACATTTTATTTTAATTAAAATAGGATTTATTACATTTAAAAACCTCTGTGTATTCAATCTTCTTATCTATTGACTGTATCATAAGTTTTACGCATCATATTAAGCAGTAGAAAGAGACTGACAATTCTTGCTTTTAAGCAACTGAAACCGAAGAGTGATGTAACACGTTTTAAAATATTGCTTTAAATCATCTCAAATTCTCATCTCATTTTTAATGCATAAATGTCACAAACTGAGAATTCCTACAAAATGAAAAGATGATACCTGATTCAACTGAAATTTAAATCAGTCAGAGAAAGAGCAGGAATTCCAGAAAACTCCCATTAACTTAAATTACTTATTAACTTTCTATTTCCTTTATACATATACATCAAATACAAAGATGGTTCATGCATTAACTGCATCATCTTTCTGGTTAATTATATTCTAAAGTAATCTCTAATGACAGTGTAATACTGATACTGTGTAATTATAATGTCTATTTTCAGACAACACTTTCACCTTAGAGTCAAATGCATATCCTCAAAACACCAACTTGTTGCTTTTGTTAAGCACATAAAGTAAAAGGATTCATATTTCTAAAGTTAGTTGGAACATTTAGGTAGATAAACATGAAATTATGGTATTGGTAGTCTTACAAAGATTTTGATAAAATAGCTAAAGTGAAACTGAAAATTATTCAAAAAATTGGAAAAAGAAAATATTGAGATGTAATCCAGTTGGTCTGGCTTTGTTTTTCAGGGTTCATACTTATTCAATACCTAGAAAAATATTTATTTAGTATCTATCATGTGATAAGCATTACATCATGGACTGAAGAGCACAGAAAACCGAAGTTTTACTGTCAGGGAGCCATTGTCCTAGAGGAAGGCACAAAATTGCCAATTCATAATATAGTAGAATAAGTCTAAATATTGTGTATGTGCAGTGTCCTATGGGAACACAGTCAAGGAGAACTAACTTCATCTGACAGGCTAGTATCAACGTAAATATACCCAAAAAGAAATGAGAGTTCGCAGCTTAGAAACAAAGACAAATATATTTGTTGCTCTGTTACAGAAGTGTCCAACTAAAAGCAATAACCAACTTAACACTACTTTCTTCATTTCTATTTAGCACTTTTTGACAATACAAACATACATTAAATGGAAATATACATATTGGAACAGAGTAAACAAAATAATAATTATAGATATATGACATAATATTACCACTAATGGGAGAATACTTATTTACTACTACTCAAATGAACAAAGAAAATGTAACACATTATATTTTATAACAAATCAAATCTTGTAAGGAAGCATAGACCCCACTGGGCATTAGAGGAGAAAGTTTTTCAACTTGAATATTTCAGGAATTGAAGTATTTTCTAGTTTAAACAATCTCCTTTGGATAAGTCAGTCCCTGTAAGGTAAATACATAGTCTTTCAAATATATCCTTCACTCCTACCTGATTGCTATCTCTCCAAGATAACTCTTGGTCAGCTTTGTAGGAGCAGGTAACTTAAACAATCCCATGGCTGGATCAGAGAACGGAAGCCATGCTCTACACGGTGTCCATACTGTTTTCTGCAGCAGTCCTATCTGATCACTGGATGAGGACTGCAGTGACGAAGTCTTAATATACTTTTAGGGCTAATGTGTTGCCGCCCACTGCTGCTGTACGTGTTCCCAGCCGTTTGCAAGAGGGAAGAGTCCTTGTTCCAACTTCGAGCCTCTAGTGGGTCATCAGCTCTCTTAGCACCTTTCTGTCCTCTCCCTTGTGGATGTGGCTGTTTCCTGATTCTCCACGTGGCATACTTAAGGTGTGGGAAGTCGGAAGTTCTACCTCTGTCTTACCTGTCTGCACATCTCTTTGTGCCGCTACTGTTCAATTGCCCTGGCAGAGTACCATTGCTAGAGTTCTAAACAGAAATGGAGACAGAATGTTCTGGTTTTTTGTTTTTCCTTCTGTCTATCTAATAAGACACCTGACCTTTAAGGGGACATCCACACACATATATCTGATTATTTGTCCCACCACCCCCCACCTCCATATCTCTAATCTCTTGTTCACAAATCCATCACGTTTGGAGTAGCAGGCTTCTTACCTAAATTTCCTGTCTACAAGAATTTCTCATTCATCACATTTCTTGCCAATACCCACATGGGATTTGCTCTGTTCCTTTCACAGATTCCCAAGTTGTAGATGATGAGCAAACAGAGAAACCAGTTGAGAAATAGGGAAAGATGCAGCAAGAGGGTTACCAAAAATATTATTCCCATCACAGCAGAAAACTCAAGTGTATTAAGTAAAAATTTTAGCTATATGACAGGTAAAGTCATAAATTTCCCATACGCCAGGAAAAACTAGATAGAAAATATCTAAGTACATGGTATGTTTCCATATATGAAGCCAGATGCAAACATATTTGTGCCAATATATTTGACTAAGTTTAAATTGATTTTGCAAAAGATGGCATTTTAAAATAAATAAATTGGGGGCCGGCCCAGTAGCATAGTGGTTAAGTTCGTGCACTCTGCTTCAGCAGCCCAGGGTTTGCAGGTTCAAACTCCGAATGAGGACTGATGCAGCGCTCATCAAGCCATGCTGTGGTGGCATCCCACATACAAAATGGAGGAAGGTGGGCACAGATGTTAGTTCAGGGCCAATCTTCCTCAGCAAATAAAAGAGGAGGATTGGCAAGAGATGTTAGCTCAAGGCGTCTTCTTCACCAAAAAAATAAATAAATAAAATAATTTGGAACAGTGTACGATTACAAATAACTTTAGAATCTAGTTGCTAATCAGGAAATGACAGTACTTCAAGTATCTATGACTTTAGAGTTTCACACAGAAATTTCTATGTGTATCTTTTTATTTTTAAGTCATAGCACAAGCAACAAGGCATGGGATATCTATATGGACTCTATTCTAGCTATATTTTTTCTTTTATTTGTCAGAATATAATTATCAAACAGTAGATCAATATAGACATAATCATTATTATGAATGGTTTAGAATTTCGTCATTTTAATAGTTCCAATGTGAAAATACCACTATGGAGTAAGACACCATTTGGTTTCAGATATGGAAAAATTCCCATATCTGAACTCTAAAACTCTATAATTATTCAAAAGTTAAAAATTAATAATCTTGTAAGATTGACTCAAAGATCAATTTTGGTCCTCTTATTTAACGTCAAAGCTTCAAAAATTAGTTGCTCTTCTATGATCTCAACAATTTCTACTTTCCCAGTGAAAATTTAAAATTTCGATGGGTTTATAGTCACCCTGGTTGGAAATGCTGACTTTTCTACCAAGGTCACACACAGCAGAAATAATTGCCTAAGTTTAAGGTAGATTGCTATTTCTTGGTGATACATTAACCACCTCTGACTCTACAGAGGTTGGCTTTAGTAGCAAAGCCGTGAAAGTGTACAGTGATGACAGCCTAGTGAAAACCCAGCAGAAAACACTGTCTTTAAATATGATTCTTTTCTATCACTGACAGTGTAATGCAATGTCATATCCAGTGATTATTCTTTCAAATAAATGTGTTCAATTTGGAGCTTTATATATTTGTGGAAATAAAATTACATAAAATTAAATTAAAATTAAAAATACCTATAATGATAATATAGCTCATATACATACACATGACTGAAATATATGCGCCATGAATGACAATAATGATCTACCATTAATTTATACTTGATTTTCTAGTTTGTTTCTGTAATTTGAGAGGCAATTACATTTTTAGTTTGGGTCTTAATAAGGTATTACATTGTGACTCATTATAATGTCAGCCTTCATATTTTTATGATGATTTGAGGCAGGATTACACAGTAATGAGAGCCTGGACTTTGGAGCTTGAGAGCCCTAGTTTGCAGCCAAATTTACATCAATTCGCAGCAATGTTGACATTGGAAAAGTCACATAACACCTTTAGGCCTATGTCACCTCAACCATAAAATTGGCTATCTACCCATGTAACATTGCTTTCATAATTTTTTCTGGGTATAAAGTAAATACTCAGCAAATGTTGGCTTTAAAATAGTTTACTAACCCAAACAATCACAACCCCCTTCCTTCAAATGTCATATCAATTATATTTGAGTATAAAAACTTCCAGGATGACTTCTGATCAAAAGTAACCCTCAAGCAACAGCAAACTCATCCCCTCCCAATTGATAGAAAACACAACCTTACTTCAACTCGTAAATAAAATTCAAAATCTAGTATCATCTGCTTCTGCTTTGGAAGTATTAAGCCTCAAGAAAAAGTCACAAACAACAACCCTAACAACAAGAACAACCTGGATAATCTATAAAATCATATCTTTTTAGTCCATCAGAGAGCTGAGAAAGCAAGGCTACTTGATGAACTAAAATCCAGAGAGGAGTGCCCCTCTATGCAGAGATGGGTCGTATGGATTGTTTCCGTGAAGTGAGGAGGTAGCCACAATAGAGGCAAATAAGAAAACAGCTGAAATTTTAAAGAATTCTTAAAGGCTGAGTGGAGGCTATTATGAAAGTTTAAAATCCCTTGGAACCCCAGAAACAAGGTAACTCTGCACCTGCTGGCCAACTCCTTTATCCAGTCTTCTACTGACTGCTGGAGGAGAAGTGGGGAGGATAGTTCCCTGTGGACAGGGGAAGCTGAGACGAAGCTCACCTGTCCAGGCCATATCACTCAGCAGCAAGGGGACAAGTCTCTGGATCAGAGAGCTCTGAAAGGCCACACTGGTCTGGGTCTTTTAGAGCTATAGAATTTAGTTAGTCTATGGCTGGCAGATGTGGGGTGCAGTCTCACAGGGTATGAAAAGCAAGCAGGCTCTGAACTGATTTTAAAAAATATTCTAGGGGCCGGCCTGGTGGCGCAAGTGGTTAAGTGCGCGCGCTCCGCTGTGGCGGCCCAGGGTGCCCAGGTTCAGATCCCGGGTGCGCAGCGACGCACCGCTTGTTAAGCCAGGCTGTGGCAGCGTCCCACATAAAGTAGAGGAAGATGGTCATGGATGTTAGCCCAGGGCCGGTCTTCCTCAGCAAAAAAAAGAGGATGACTGGCGTCAGATGTTAGCTCAGGTCTGGTCTTCCTCACAAAAAAAAAAAAAAAAAAATTCTAATTGTCCTATATTTAAAGCAGTTGGATGTGGAGGAATTAGAGTTTGAATCTGGTGGGCTTTGAGCTAACAGTCCTAGCCTGCTGTGAGGAAGTAAACAGCTTATGGACCAATATGCGGGCCATATTTGGCCCACTTATATAACAAACCTAGAGAAAGCCGTCTGCGCTCTAGGACCTATGTGAGTGCAAGTGGTTTGCTATTAATGGGGAATGGATGGGAAATCCAACTGTGCACTGGACTCTACTCTGATTTGAGTCAGGAGCTATATGTGGATTTAATAAGTATTATTTCCAGATGGGTTTTTAGGAGCCACTGCGTGATTCTTCTTGCTCTTTCCGCCAGCCCTGATGACGGTCAGGGTTCATGATGAAGACCCAGTCCGCTTCCGTGAGTGAGCTCAACAGAGAACAGAACACCAGCTAAGCCAAGAGGAATATACAGTGTGAGCAAAAAGCCCATCCTTGTCTCAATTAAAAAGATTTGGGGGTTGTTTGTGGGTACAGCGTAAACTAGCCAAACCCTACTAGAACAATGCAAATAGATTTTGGTCCTAATTCTGATTTGGTCATTTGTTCATGAAAATTAAATTTGCCATTTTACTGAAAAGCTGTGATTTCTAATCAATTGGCCACAACTGAACATTTCTATCCATCCCATTTTGACAGTAGAAATAATATTGAAGCAGGCATAATTTTTAAAAGTACTAGTCTTTTTTACTGACTCAATCGCATTTCACCATTAATCATAGTTTAAGGACATAAGTCTTAATCTTGCTTTCTCAACATTGTGTGACACAAGCAGCATTTTTAGCTCCCATACCAGACAAAATTTTTCTTATGCTTACTCTAAATTTTTATTACATCACAAGTTGTTTTGCTATGAATTTATCACAGGATAATATTTCTATCTTTAAAATTATAGTATAATTACAAATAAGGAATATTGAGATATCTTTTATTAATCGAGATATATTCTAGAGATATATACATATATCTCGAATATAGTGTAATGGTTCTTCACTCCAATAACACCAATGG